TTGCAGTTATATATTTTTCTTTCTGCTTGCCCTCTTTCTTTTCTCATGAATAAGAGATATAAGGAAAAGGAAGTATCTGAGGTTTAATGCTCTACCTTTCTCCCAATAAACATACAATTGTAATAAAAAACATCTGACATACTTCCCTATAAAGAGCAGAGTGTAGATATAAAAAGATGGATTGTCTGTGTCTTATGTCATTTTTGTCTCCATAAGATAGGAATATGGAGGCATCAAAATGCATAGCAATGTTTGTAACCTGCAATTAATTTGCTTAAATTCAATTAGAGCCTCATCCATCAAACACAATGTAGCTCTTGAGAGGGGACAGATCAAAATCTAGTAATCACAAACATGCTGAGCTTTGCTCACATTGGTTCCCATATGGCTTGGTTTATGCCTCAGATTTCAGGACAGGGTCCTTGAATTCCTAATCCAAGTGTAGGCCAACCAGTGCAGAGATTGAGTAATGCAAAAATTAAGGATTTGGGTCTGATTCTATTCCTTCTGAAATAAATGGCAACACTCCCTATAGCTTCAGTGGGAGAAAGGTCCCCTGCATTATTACTTCACTAGTTGATTGTGATCAACATAAGATTGTGCAGAAAGAACTGCCAGGTAATTCATAACATCACAGAGCCCTTGTCTTATTGGAAGGCTTTTTATCATCATGCATTCAACTTTAATCCTAGCCATAAATTTACATGGCTTGTAATTGATGCATTAGTAAGTGAAATGGTTGGATGGGAAGTTTATAAGTGGTGGCAGCTTCAGGCTAAAGTGTTTTGGGCTCAGGATAAACAGCTGGTTAATTTATCCTAGTCAGCTCACTCAACCTCCCTCATGGAACAAGGAATACAAATCTGATAACCCCTGGCAGCTAGACTAAGGGACAAACAGGGAAGGTGTATAGTTACTGATTTTCACCTCACACTCAGAAGAGAGAAAGTGACTTAGATTCGTAAATCTCTAACAGAGTGGACAATGGTGAGACAAGTCTCAAAGTCCATACATAAACATTTATTATTTTCCCACAGTGTATTAATTTGATATGCAATAACTGACTAAGCATGTAACAAATTATGGCAAGCAATATGATATGCCTTGCATTACTTAATGCTAGCAAGGAAAGGGGGGAAAATAGAAGAGATAGAACTAGAAATGGGGATAGAGGTCACTGGTCTGGGTTCCTGTGTTGGTCCTGCTAATAAGGGTTCAAGGATGTATCTGTCTTCTTCACTACTGTTATCCTTGCCCCTCCTCAATTATATGCACTTTCCTTGAGTCCCACCCCTAGGTTGATGTACATATGTATGGGGAGGACCAAGGTGCTTCATGGGATGTTGCAACTAGCACGATCGTGTTAATCTTCATTAGCATATGCAGGGCTGTGAACTTTAATATGCATTTTGCAGATAATGAAGCAAAGGTCATTCACTGGACAGATGGCCGTGCAATTCTGCAAGATGTACAAGAGCAGAACGTCCTGTCTTCACAGGGCTCCCCCCTCCACCTGCATCCTGTGTTATCCAGGCAGCCTTATCAGCTCATTGAGCACATAGCTTGCATTATCCAGACTCCATGTTATCCACCCCATGACTATAGTCTCATTTTAGGGTACTTGCAAGTGTTTGAGACATTCCTTGGAAAGCCTTGGAGAACCTCCACCCCCCCACCCCTTATCTTTACCAAATTTCGCTTCTCAACATTGTTTATGCTTCCCTCAGGCTGATTCTGTCAGTCTTTGTTCTGGGGAGTTACAAGTCGACTCCTACACTGATGAAAGCTCCAAATTAAGCAAAACAGAGACCAGAAAATCCAGTAGGTGTAACTCCGTGTTCTCTGATTTGGGGATGCAGGCACTACAAGGACCATGAGCAAATGATTGTGCCTTTTCTGGTTTTTAAAATGCCAAGCTTTTCTACAGTACACAGAGTGGTCCCTCATATAATTTGGGCAAAGTGATTCACGATGGATTTTTGAGGCAATCTTACCTATCTCAGTTACTGCGAGTCTCAATGGAGTTCAGTGCTGTGACTGCACTCCGACAGACACCTCCTTCTTGCCTTGATGTATTTCTCTGCTGTATCCCCAAGCTCTTCAGAAGAATCACTTCTTGGGTGGAAATGAGGCTTTTGGGAATCCTTTGCACTGCTTTGTCTCCATACCCAGGATAAAGGGTGTGAGTCAATTCAGAGCAGTCCAGATATTTTCCCTCTGGTTCAGAAGTGAGGCTGGAGTTCAGTTTCTGCAAGAAGAGTGTTACAGACAATATGGGTTCCTCCTTCCTTTTTACAATTAGATCATGGGTAGCTCTCTTGTCTGCTTTACTTTGTTTGCCTGAATCAACCTTCCCTAGAAAGGTTATTAAAGAAAATCCAAGTACCTTCTGTAATTTCATATTAATCAACTGATCACAGATCTTCAGTAAAGGAATTGACTAACTACTTATTAATGTTCCAAAGTCTATGGGGATGGAGGAGGTCTATTAATATTTTTTTTATATATTCCATTTTCAGGGAGGGGGGAACAAAACCAAAACCAAAAACAGAGGGTTTGCCCAAAGCTAATTTTTGCATAACAGACCCCCAGTTCCTAATTAATTTAGAACTTTATAGAATGTCCTCAACAAGTTTAGACCAAATCTTTCTCACCAGTTCTGAGGCCATTATGTTATTCATAGATTTATTACTCAAATAGTAAAACATCTTAGAGGGGTTACAGCTTGGTGGGAATGTTGTTCAATGGGAAGGGAGACAAAGATGTGTAATTTAGTGGGATATACAAGCCACTGATCCTGTTACTCTCCTCCCTGGAGCTCTTGTTAGTGTCAGCGGGAGTGAGTGAAATTGATGTCACTGGTATTCCTGGGCATGTGCTTTTTTCCCCCTTCTCTTGTAATCTGAGATCCCCTTTTTGTTGATGTTGCTTTCTGCATTAATTAGATGCATGTAGGTTAAATGAGTACTCAATTTACTACTCAAATAATAGTTTAGAACAATTACATTCACTTAGTTTCTACTGAAAATGGTCTAATATATATATATATATATTTATAGCATGAAGATTGACACATTTAAGTAGAATGGTTTAAAAACAGACACACCTCGGAGAAACTCCCAATCAGACCACGAATTACTTTGGGACTAGAAGAATCGCTATGCTTATTCTTCACATCCCCTAGCCTACATCTTTCCTAGATAGGACCATGTTTAGACTTTATGCAAAAAGTTTTCTCTAATTTCATCTAAGCAGCAAATAAATACTATCAATATTTGGGATTTCTTTTTTCTTTTTCATAGCATAAAGAATGGAGGAGCATGGACTGATAGCCAGTCTCTTGTTTCTCTCATTTACTGTGGATTCCTTTGGATTAACCTCACATTTTTATGATGTTAAATCAGGAACAATTCTGCAGTTTCTCACTGTAGCTGCATGTGCCTTAAAATCAAGAGGAGAATCAGGCTTGCTTTGTATATTTTTCTCCTGAAAACTCTATGGATACAGTAGTGTCTGTTTTCAATGAGAGTGGAAATTTCAGTATCAAGCAGTTAATCTTAAATCCCCAGGCTTGCTGCAGCCAATACTGTACAAATTGAACACTTGCCCATCTATTTTAAATACAGCCTGAACAATGGCGCTCCCCATGAATCTGCAAGTTTGCTCCCCGTACCGTGCCTTCCATCATGTGTACACCTGCAAAGGAGATTACAACTGGCTGGGGCCATGCGTGGTATTTGGCCAATTTCCACATTGGGGGGGG